ACTGAAAGCTCATGAATCCAAACTGGCTAGATCTTAGGAACGGATGATTCCAACCCCTCCCTCCCCCGGAGTTGTTTTGTTTTGTTTTTTTGCTCACAGTATAGAAAGGGGATGCACGTGGCTGCCTCTGAAGGACTCTGAAACCTCTCACTAAGAGATGCCATGGCATTCATTACACTCTCCAGCCACTGCCTATATGCTGCCTCAGTCTTGAATATCTAATAGATGGTCACAATAATATACAGAATTCCTGAAGAATGAAGGGTGCTGAGTCCCTTTCTGGTGGCCTTTTGCAAATTGAAATTGTATGGAAACCAGGTGGTATTCCTGCATATGATGAATAGAAAAATGTGTGACTCTTTTTTCATACCTAATTAGTCTTTCCAGTAAGTTAGGAAGAATGATGCAAGGTTGGACATTTTATTGAAGACCTAAATAGCTAGCTCTGAATGATTATACACGCCAGCATCCTGGCTGCAAGAACACGAACACGAGATCTCCTGTCTCTGACATAGCTAAGGAAAAAAGAAATTGTTCTTCATGCTCCCTTTAAGAGTTCTTTATACACTGTAGAAATGCAGAAACACAGAGAGAAACCACTGATTTTCCCAGAGGGCTCCAGGATTTTTTAAAAAAATGTGTATTTAGTGAAAAACTAGGTTTGTAGTGAAACAGTATTTCATGAAAGTAGATATTTTTAGAATTTGAAATACCACAACAGTTCCTGGACTACAAGGAAAGGCACATTGTGTTTAGTCTTCCTTTCAATAAAACTTTTCCAGAAATTATTCTTAGAAATAATTCCCAATAGCACAATTGGCCTGAGGAGAGCTAAAAATAATTTTACTTCCAATACAAAGATATAAAGGGGGGAAAAGAACTTTTATGTTTGGAGGTGTTGTACATCTCTCCCTAAACTGGTAAATACCAGTTGTCAGTTTTAGATTGGGACTACTGCTTCCCAAAAATAATTTTCAATATCAGCTTTGTCCAGAAATATTTTCAGTAAAATGTTCCTGCTTGATAGAGTTGTATTCAGAATTGTCACCATTGAACTGATGGATTCCATTGTTTTACTGTTCATTGGGACTGTATCTACCTTCTATCCAGCTGTACTGTAGTGCCACCTGCAGGCCTGTTAATATGTTCACGGTTATTTCATTTTTTAAAAAATAAAAGTCATTTACTGTAGACTTGTCTTTGACCTATATTGTACCTATACTGGAAGTTTATGGGGAGATATAGAAGTAGGAAATGAAAGCATATCTGTCTCCCCTCACTTCCAAGCTTTTGAACAGGTATTTTTTTCTTTTCTATTCTCTTTCTATCCCTCAAATCCCTGTGAGCTACATACATACTTGCTTTTGAGAAAGGCAACTCTGAAGTCTGGTGCATTATTTTCCTTCCAAGTCCCTCGTAATCAGAAATCCTTTTTAGGGAGCAGGCAAACCTGCAACTTGATTGAAATAGTCAGGTACTCAAGCCTTGTTTGTATTTCTGTGGACATCTTCCACTGTACCACATCACACTTGACTCAAAATGCTATCAAAATCTCAATAAATGGTAAAAGCTGTTCACAGAGCTCAGGAAAAAAACAAGGACGCAAAAAAGTTACATGTTTGCATCTATTTATAGCACTGTTTCATATTTGTACTTTCTTTGCATAATTTATTTGAAGTGCAAATTTGGTTTAAAGCCTCCCGAAAGTATTCTGCATCTAATTGTAGCTGGAATTCTTTAAATTTGTGAAATTGGTAACTTTCATGATATCTTCCTATGTCTCAGGCTTGAAGGCTGATATAGCCATATCCAGATTTCAGTGCTTTTCTTTCTTTAAATGCTTTTTTTCCCTCACGAATTCCAGCTTTCTCAAGACATTTCACCAAAGTGAGGGCAAATTTCTTTTTTTTTCCTCTGATTTTATTGGATGATTTCATCACAAATTAGTTTCCTCTGCCAGAAACTAAGAAGGTTACTTTTTATGAATATTCTTAAAATATTTCCTTTTTTATTAAACATTTTTTTCCAAAACCCTAAATCTATCAAAGGTACAAAGACTTTAAAAATAATTTTCAGATCTCTAATCTTATGGAAGAGGAAAGGCTGTAAACATGTATGACCTTATTTCAAGTCCATAATTAAACACTGCTATACATCATTATATTTCTATCCTAATTGTAAAGCATTATTTTCATCAGTAAACTTTGGCATGAATACTTTGTTATGAAATTTTATTAAGGGATGCTACCTTTTCAAATAATAGCACAATTTTCTCCCTCAAAATCATTTGGACAAAATAATTGTACAGTTTCTGTGAAAGGATTCCCTACTCATCACTACCCTCAGAATAAGTTTGTTTCAAATCCAATTTTGAAATATCCTGGTTAGAATAATAATTATGTCTTCAGGATGGAACTGACTATTACCAGAGTTTCACAATCTGAGTCTTTAATGACATGCACTGCTGAAAACCTTTGGTGTGATTAAGAGATCTTCAGAAGTTCTTCGAAATATTTAATGTGACAAAAATATATTACTACATGTACTACTGGAGAGGGATTTTTAACTGAAATTATGCCTGAAACTCAAAAGGTCAATGTGGAAACCTGAAAGAAGTGAGATCCTGGTTTATACCAAATGACACATTGCTGCTGTTTGCCATAGTGGCTAGTGCTGCTTTAGTAAAATGGACAGGCAAAGTATGTATATTCTGCACCTAGGAGGGGTTTGCCCTATGCAATCTGGTGAAGTTTATGAAAGTTCACGTAGCATTTCCTATTCATATAGATTAGATGTATTCTAATAGATCCTATAGTTTGAAAATTCGCTGGTTTTCTGGACCAACAGATGTCAATATCACCTTCAGCTAAAATTCCTTTAGAGGATCTGAAAAGCCAGATGTGTTTCTACCCTTCTCCAGTATTCCTTCCTCAAAATGAAATATACCCATTCCTTCACTCCCACCCTATAGGGCTTAATTTGTAATTTTTGTTTTTTTCTTGTTCCCTTCTACAAAACTATTCTAATTTGTCTTACATTTTCCTTAAATTGTGATTTCCAGAATTGTACACAGTTTTGAAATGGTAATCTGAATAATACAGAATAGAATGGCTATCTCCTTTTTCCAAAAATAAAACTTAATATAAACCAAAGAGTACAGAAAAAGCAGGGAGAAAAAAAAATAAAATGTAAAAAAAATAATCCCCCCTTCATCACAAGATAAACGATTTAAATAAACCAATTATATTTCTTTTTAACAACCTTAATCTTTAATCCCTTCAAATAATGTCCTATATAACTTGATTACTTTTATTTTGTTCCTACTCACAAATTTCAAAGCTTTAACAAGCCTCTTGTTATCTGAAATACCCCAAAATTATCCAGATTACTCGATTTGTCATTTGTATCTCCTTTTTAATTAAGACATCAGTCATTTCCTTTTGTAGATCCAATGCAGTATAATTTTCCATATTCTTGTAGCCTGTCATTTTGAAATCTCTTCAGATCAGTCTCAATCTTGTCAGATAACACTTGCCCCCCTTCCATAACATCCTTTAAATACAGTTCTTCCATGAAAGCGTGCATTCTTAAAATTAACTTCTGGGTCCAAAATCTCAAGAGTTTCTTTCAAAGTTGCTGGCATCTTCTCTCCTACAAGTAGTTTGATTATGGTTCTGGTTCTACCACTTACAGCAGAAAGTGCATGAAACCAACACTGAAAAAAAATATTAAAATAGCTGCAAGGAAAATCTGTTCATACTTGTTCAAATGCTTTTTTAAAATTCTTGTTATATATATATATATATATATATATATATATATATATAATATATATATATATATATATATATATATATAATATATATATATAATATATATATATATATATATATATATATATATATATATATATATATTTATAATATAAAAGTTTTCACGGTATGTATGTGTGTATAGTTAATATTTCGGGTTTCTTCCCGTGTAATTGTGGATATATATAGCTTCTACCCTTTTAGGGATATATCCACAATTACACGGGAAGAAACCCGAAATATTAACTACACACACACACACACACACACACATATTTAAAACAAGAATTTTAAAAAAGCATATATATATATATGTATATATATATATATATAACACATTGCAGTTGCATTAGTTGACACTCCTAGTCCCTCCTATTATTCTCTTCCTATGATTCTCTCAATCTAACTAGATGTACTACAGTTGGTCATTTTTCTAATCTCCCATTTTTGCTAGCACAATTTCAGGTATGGCAAGCTAATCGTACATCAGGAGCTTGAGCAGCAAAATATGCTATGAGATAGTCCTCATCCGCTCTACGAACCTTGTATTCCAACCTTAAGAAGAGTAGAAACCCATGTTCCAGTAATTCGGGATGGGGGGGAGGGCAAGAGCTAGGCCAGATGTTATTCTTTTTCTGCTTACTGGCCTGTCAACAAAAATAGTTTCAAATACTGCAAGATTGACAGCACCAGCTCACTGTACAGTATTCTTTGTGCAAGTGCGCGCGCTCGCTGCCGCGTTTCTTTCTCTTTAGAAAAGGGGAAACTTCGGGGAAGAGAGTCGTTTCCTCTCCTTCCCCTGCGTTTCGAGTCCTTTTTGTCCTCCTGTCACGCACGATGAAAACCCTCGTGAAAAGGTGTGCTAATCCCTCTGGGGATTAAAGGGGCTTTTATTTATCCGATGCCGAATGCTGCCCTGGGGTAAACCTTTCCCAAGTCCCGTAGCCACCCAGGTCTTGTAAAGCTTTCCAGGGCCGGGGCCGAAGGAAGGCTTAACGTGCTCCCCTCGCACCGCTTTTGCACTTCTAGGGCGGACCCCGGTCTATAAACCAGCAAGGAGTCTCGTTTGACGCAATGCCGGCCGGCCCACCCAGTTCAGGGTCTGCTCCCGGGAAGAGAGGGGCGCGCGCGCACCCGGTCGTGTTCTCCGCGCTGAGGTCCGCGGCTGTTTTCCCTCCGACGCACCGGTAGCCCCTCCCCTTTAAGGGAACGGGGCGGGGCTACGCTTGCTGCAGAAACCTGCCCTTTAAGAGCGCCCCGTTTCCTTTCGCTGCTGCTGCTGCAGCTGGTGCTGAAAGCCAGCTCCCAATCGCCGCCGTCGCCCCTGCCGCCGGAGGAGTCCGGGCCTCGCTTTGCCATGGTGTCCTGGATCATCTCCCGGCTGGTGGTGTAAGAGCGCGAGGGCGGCTGGGCGGGAGGCCCTCTCTGTGCTGTTGCCAGGCAACGGGATGAAGATGGGGACCGGGGGCTCGCGCGCGGTCGGGCAGGGCTGCCCTCCCCGGGGCTTTAAGCGCGCGCGCCGCGCGGCCCCCCCCCCCTTTCGCTCTTCCCCCAGGGCAGCTTGCAGGTGGGGGTGGGGGAGGCCAGCGCTCCTCGCCCTGAACCTGGCGGCGGAGAAACCAGACGGGGCGTTGCCTGATGTCCGGGGCTCTCTTTTCGTCCCCTTGGGGGCGGTCGGGTGAGCCAGCCTGACGGTCCTGGGCGACGAGGAAGGGAATTGTGGATGCAGCAGGTGGGAGAGAGCAAAGCGCCTCGTTGCTCGGCCTGCTCGGTGGGCCGGTGGAGGGATGTGTGTGTGTGGAGGGGGGGGAGACTGGACGTTGCTCAGGTTTGCTAGAGTCTGACGCCCATCCCGAATAACTGGAACCTCACTCTCTCTTCCTTCCTCCTCCCCCCTCCCCGCCCCCCGTTTTTATTCGTTTTTATTTTCAAAACTCTGTTTGCAGTCTGGTTTTTGGCACCCTGTACCCTGCCTATTCTTCTTACAAAGCTGTGAAGACGAAAAATGTGAAAGAATATGTAAGTGCAAGGCAGCCATCATATTTATTTTAAGGGCTAATCTTTCTCTGTTATCATTCACGGTTTATCTCCTGTTCGGAAAATGGCCAGGTTTTGTGAATGGACAAGAAGCTGAGATTTCACTTTTTGTATTCTTGTCAATATGTTAGTTTTTTTTTTTAAAGGATCTTATTTATTTGATGTGAACATACTATGGGATAGAACTGACATGCTTGTTCTCCTCTTAAGCATTTTTCCCCATATAATGACCACACACACACACACACACACACACACACACACACACACACACACGATAAGCTGATGATGTCACCAGATGCTTCTTCAGCTAATCGCTTCTTGCTTTTAATGTTGTAAAAGTTAAAGCTAGTATAAAGTACTAGCTATTCCAAAGCATCGTGGTACACTGCCTTTGGAATAGCTACCATTTTGCAGGCTTCAGCCAATTTAAACATTGTACTTTGCACATTAAAACAATGACTATGTCACTAACTTATTTGCACAAAGCATGAGAGGCTAAAAGTGCTTTGTTATGCCCCTGGTGAAAGAAAACACAATGCTCAGTTTTGTTGCCAATTTTAATGGTTCTTTTTATTGTAGCACTCGAGTATTGGAGGGTTGTCACAAGTACTTGGCATTGGGTGTGTCACCTGACAATTATTATGAAATTAAGAAACAAAAATTTATTTTAAATGAAGGTTTTATAATTGGACTGTAAAGTACAGTATTGAACATCCCTAGAACACTTTTAGCCATTCATGAAAAGGTTAATAGGCTGGTTTTGTTTGCTATAGGGAAGTTAAAGCAAAAGAATATGTGTCAGGAATAATGAGAAATAGGTAAAGAATTGGAAAAGGAAGAAGTAGGAAAGATTGAAATTAGTCTCAAGACTAGTGCTGCTTTTTTACATATATGCTTCTTATTTTGTTGTTCCATGCTTTGCTATAAAAAATGAAGTTATATACTTTCTTTATAGGATCATCATTATTTATTTATTTATTGAACTTGCATGACTATGGGTAGCGTATAACTCTCTACTTAATACATGTAATTGGAACTTTCACAAAAGTTCATTGTAGAAAAAAGTAACCAATTGGTTGCATTTGAAAATCTGGGCTAAAAGTCTTCCTAGAGCAGCTTTTGGCAGTTTCCAAATTGCAAAATATTTCCATTTTCACATAATTAGCTTTCATAAACAGCACATATGAAATTATTCTTGGCCTACCATGGATTATACGATTTATGTGATCCACAAATGTTAATTACTTTCAATATTTCATGCTTTTTCTGAGAACTAAATGGTGGACCTAATAAAATGGGACTTATCAGAACATATGTCTTTGCCTGTTTGTTCTTTATGATACCCATGCTTCCAATTTTTAAGGTCATGCTTGTTCTGAGAGGAAATTAGAAAGTAGAATATTATCCTTACAAAATGAATGTTTATGCCAGTTTTGATTATGTAATATTTACATTATTTAGCTGTCCTAAAATTGTTTTTCATCAAAAAGATGTCAAGATAATTCAAAAAAGCTTTTGCCCTTTTAAAATAAATGAACATTAAAGACATCTGTCAAATACACTAGCAAGATATGTCATGCAACGTATTTTGACCTTTTTATTCAAACAATTAATATGACTCTCAAGATTTTCTTTCTTCCAAAGATTGTTCCACTAAGGAAATACTGAAAAAGCCTTTGTCATGGTATTCTAAAGCCTTAGTTACTTACTTAGAATAGGCCTACTATACAAACTTTTTAATGAATAATGTCTCTCTTTTTGGTCCCAAGATGGGATTGGTGATGTGGCAATATTACCATCATAGAGGGCTAAAATGTGTGCCCATTGTCTGGAACTGTAAATTGCTGAAGCTTCTTTATTTTGGCCAAACTTGCTCCCAAAATCTTTTAAAGCTATGAATTCGCTGTTTAATATTACTGGTACCAAACCAGGGTTGTTCTGAAGCTAACACAAATGAGAATTTCAAAGCTGCATGTAATAGTAAAGTTATGGTTGCTCATATGTTCCGTAAAAAAAATTCAAACATCCTGTGGGGGTAATATATGGAGAAAGAAAGCTAGTTCTAAATATTCTGGACCAAATCAAGGCTTCCAATCTTTTTAGGCCAGGGACCTATTTGACATTATGAAACCCTAGGAGTGAAAATGGCTGTCATGGGAAACTTACCCATTTCTAAAACCACTATTAATATAAGTTGGCACAAAACACCAATTTACCCGAAGTGAACTGGTGGAGAGGTTTCCTGTCATTCTTTCTGGACTACAAAGCTCTGCTTTCATCCCCAGGTTTATGGCTTTTTTCTAGGCTTGCAAAGAAATTATTATCGGTAAACTGCAATCATCCACCATTTTTATTTTCTAAAAACACATCTGCTTTAGGTCTTTGCAGTATCTAAGGGCATTTTTGGAGATAAATAAGATCTGTAGACTGGTGCTTTGTTTGCAATATATTAAAGAGGAGAAGGTGAAGGAGAAGAAGGAGAAGGAGAGACTTCTTCAGGAGTATGATGCAGCTGATATTCAAGGCATGCTACCTATAATTCTAGAAGTAGCAACAGCCATCAAAGCTAGTAGCTATTAATAGCCCATTAATAGCGCATCTTTCATGAATTTGTCCAATTCCCATTTAAAACTTCTTGTCTCAGAGACTACTACCATATCTGAATCTAACCACATGTGTATAGAGATTTTTGTCCCAACTCAACCATTCAAAGAGCTGGTCAGGGAAATTACAATAATTTAAAATCTTGATTGTCTATTAAAATACAATAGTAAAATGTATTAATTAAAATACAATAAAGTCAGGAAACTCAAGGGAGAGGTTGGGTGTATCACCAGCTTATTGATCACAGTTTGTTAAGCATTTCTTTAAAACCTGTCTCAGTAGGATGTGGGGGTAGGGTAGGCGTTGTAATAGAAGATGTAACAGAAAGAACCTTAAGGAATCTTACAGCACATTTTCCTTTAGGGCAGCCCAGTAGTTTACCCAAACTAAGGTAAAAATAATAATGGAACTTATGTAAAGTAGGGCACCTAGGCTTCTGCTACTTAGTGTATGTTGTCTGTCCTGAAAAGCTATCTGTAATGATTATATTTATTTATTTAAAACATGTATACAGCTGTCCAATTTATAACAAACTCTGGACAGCTCCCAATCAAAAATTATCTTTACTATCTTGGAGAAGTCTTATGTGTACAATAGAAAACTTACGAAAAGTGTACAATAGAAAACTTACAAAACTTACTAAGTATGAACTGGCAGTGGAAAAGGGCAAATTCCGTACTAAGAAATGATTGGAATAAGATTGAAAATAAAACAGTTATTATCTGTGTTTTTCTATAATAAAGTCATTATTCCCTGCCAAGAATGTGACCATTGTAAATGCTTTTGGTTGCTCTTAAAAATACAAAAACTAAATATGAATATCTATGTCAGTGACTGTTATCCATAAATGGCCTTCAATACCAGTTGTCCAGTTTTCAGGCTAGTTTATCCCTCAGTGATAATCATCTGTGTCAGTCCCTAAACTAGGTTTCATATTTATGTCTCTGATCCTGACTTAAAAGGATCAAAGTTTGAAGTGCATTCCTGCCACTAGAATCTAAATTAGGCATGAAAATCTGTGGATTATCCAGAATAAAAACACAAAACTATACCTAAATTGCTATAGATTAGGAATACAAACAACTTTTCAGCATCATCTGACTAACCTCTTATTTGTTAATGAAAAATATTTTCTACCAAAAATTGTGTATTTATTATAAAATATGTATATTTTGTAAATATAAAAAATACATAATATTTAGATGTTCTATACCACAAATCTTAGGAAATTGTGTATCAGAAACTAGAAAGTTCATTTAATTGCAATTTGCTTTTGATCACTTGCATTAGAAACTAATTACCACTGTCCACATTCCATATGATAAAATATGAATCCATGCCAAACACAGCATTAAATAAACTTTCCCAAACCATGGCTGCTGTTAAAGCCACTCCTTATGAATAAGTATCCATGAAGTAAGAACTGGCAGGTAAAAAGAGCAAAAAGCACTGTAACCTGCATGAGATAATGTGATCAATTTGGAAAGTTTGTAGCTGACAGTTAGAAACCAAGCTGGAAGAACAGAAATTTATGTGGAGATGGTGGAAGAGTAGGAACTGTTGATTGAGAAGTGGAAGGAAATAGTGCACATTCCTTAATTGGGAGGCTTTAGTGTAATACTCATGCTTTTATCACTTCACTTTTGGATTACTGTTATTTATTATACATATTGCTACTCTTGAAGTTCATTTAGAAGCTACACCATCCAGAGTGTAGCAACTCAAATAGAGACTGGCTCATTTCAGTTGGTTGTATACTCCTAATATGGGATTCTACTGGTTGCCAGATACAGTTCATTTTGGTGGATATTACTTTGATGTATTAATAACCAAGGGTCCCCAAAATTGCTTTCTGTGAATGGAATCTGCCTGTCTGATGGGAAGACATAGGGAAGATGGCCGGAGGGACCCCAAGGACGAGCCTCGCCCTTGGTGACCTCCCTTTTTGGTAATAGTGCAGCTCCAGAGATGAAAAAATGAGCTTGCTCTTTCAGAGGGCCTTTGGGAATGGTGTGGAAATTGCTCCTGAAAGTGTGGTACTAGACAGTGCATCGATAGTTATGGTATTATTGAAAATTATGATAGTGCTTATTTACTTTCATCTTATTATAATTTGGTTATTGTTTTACATTTACTCTGTAATACTGTAAAGAGGAATGTAAGCAATTCAAAGTCAGTTTACATTTGAAGCCACATGTAAGATGAAAACTCAGTCACTACTGAGCTTTGAAAGCCTGCCTGCATAAAATTGTTTTCACAGCTTTACAAAATGTCAGTAACTTTGTCTGAATTCAGAAGTAGGCAGGCCTATCCTGAATACTACTTGGATGAGAGCCTACCAGGGAATTAAAAGACTATAGGCTAGACTGGAAAGTTGAAAAACATCCTGGAATAAAAGCAAGGGTAAGCTTTTCACTGTTGCCATGAAAATGCTGTGATGTAGTCACAAGGAGTTAAACTCAATTGGAGGGAGGCTTTATCTTTTTATAGTAAGAACAGGCATTTGCAAGTCTAAATCAGCTGTTCAAAAAAATATTTTCAATAGATTCCTTGTGGTTTATTTGATTGGAGACTAAAAAAGCTCTCTAATTAATTAGGAAAAAAATTATGTAGTAGCTTAGAATGGAGATGGGTAAAGGGGGATATAGATTAATGTTTGGACATGGCGGTTTTGAGAATTCTTCTTTTTCTTTGTAATATTAGAACACATTTTCATAAGAAAGAAAAAACAATTCTGCTGGATCAGACCAGGCCCATCTTAGGTCTGCACTGTGTTTCTCACAGCTGCCAACTAGATTCTACTGGAATGTTTGCAACTAGGAGACAGGCAAATATTCCTCTCTTGCACTTTTCCCAGCTCTATTATAACCTTTTTCAACTGTAACAACCAAAGCTGTATACAATATTCTAAATCAGACATGGATTTATATAAGAGCATTACAATATTGGCATTTTTATTTTCAGTTCTTCAGAATTTGCATAACACGTACACTGACTCAGCACAGTATGTTCACTGAGTTATTCAGTATGATCCCAATATTTTTTTTTTCCTAACTGGTTACAGACAGGCCAGATTCTGTCAGTGTAGATGTGAAGATAGGTTTTCTTTGCTCAAGCGTGTATCTGTTTACATATATTTAAACTGAGTCACCTTAATATATTGGTTGACCACATACCCAGATTATAGAGATCCTTCTGGAAACCTTCAGAATCACTTTTGGATTTTGTTCTCCTTAAGAGTTTAATAACTGCAATTTTATCAGGTGAAGTTAAATATGGAAAGATTCAGTGATGGTCCAAAGATATGACAGTCACACATTTAAATGTCTATGGAGATTTTCAGTCATCCAGGTCATGGTTGTCCCAAAGGTGCTTTTTCAAAAGGCAACCTTCCAAGAAGGTCCCACACCCATTTGCACTATTCAGCTGACCTTAAGGGCACAGATAAACCTCCAAGTGCCTCAACGAGTCTCAGAAAGAGTACTAACAACCAGATGACTGCAAGGAATATAAATCCTTCCACTTGCCACCATTTATTTAGAACTGAAGAACTTTCTTGGATGAGAAGCGAAACATCTTCAATCAAAAACAAAGCAAGTCCAGTTGCCTTTTGAAAAAGCACCTTTGCAACAGTCACACATTTAGATGGTTGTGAAGAGATCTAGACAGATTATTGGTATTTGTTTAGTACTGCTATCAATAATTACTAGCCTTGATACAGTATATTCCTCCTGAATTTAAAAAAATAATAACTTGCTTTATTCTGTATATTGAGAAAGGAATTTTTAGCTAGCCCGATGAAAGCAGGCTGTAGTCTAATTTCCAGGATATGGATGAGTTCTGTGTCATTATGCTCATACTCTGAGCTCTGTTTATGCGCTTATATTCATTCTTATTTAATAAACAGCAGGGGGAGCTAGCATCTGCCTGCCGGCCTGCCTGCAATCAAGATGCTGACATACAAATATCTGTTATATGCAGTATGTTGTAATAAAATACTATCAACTGTTAATTGCTGTGTTGAATCATGATGCTGATATGGGTCTTTTAGGCAATATGTTTTCCTCCTAAATACTTATTACACTATTTTGGAAAACTCTCTTGTTTTCTGTAACCCCAAATATGCTCCTTAGGGCTCCTAAACTTTTAAACAAGTTTTGAAAAAATGCCCAGGATTGTAAAAAGCTTGGGGTAATGGAAATGTTCCATTGGCAGAAAAATTCCATGGATTTCTTTTGATGAAATTCCCTCTGCTTCCAATGTTACCTCTCATTAAACAAGCTGTTGGACAGCAAATATATCAGTTTTATAATGCATTGCCAGACTTCAATGTTTGAAGCAAATAAAATTTGAGGGAATTAAAGGGAGAAAGAAAAAACAAGAATAGGCATGACAAACTTTGCTTACCCAAGCATCACTTTTATAAAGTGATGTTTGTGTAAATATTTGTTTTTATATATGAGAAAAAATTGTTCAGAATGTTTGGTACCTATAAAACAAATACATGTTTTAAGGTAAGGCCTAATGTTCAGCATACTTTTAACGCAATGGTTGCCTTGCAGGTTAAATGGATGATGTATTGGATTGTGTTTGCCTTCTTCACCACAGCAGAAACACTCACAGACATCATTCTGTCTTGGTAAGTTCTTTATCATTGGTAGGAACTACTTGATGCTGTAATAAAGTATTCTATTTTCTAATTCTTGACTGCTTTGAATGTTTTTTCTTAAGTTTATTTATTTAAATTTTTTGCCAGAAATATTCATTTACTGTATCATATATGATATAGCTCATAAATTGAATGTTTGAAGTTGGTAATAATATATTATTCTTTCTTCCAATAGTAATTTTTAAACATTTGGATTCTGGCTCTGAATAAAATGGTTGTTTCTGGTACTATTGCAAGTCATCAGTATCTTCTGCTTTGTGATTTATCAAGGGATTTGTTCTCTGAAAACACATTGAGGAAAGAGTTGTTACTCCAATCCTATAGTAATAGTTCTGTTTAATACACCTTACTGGCAACTTGTTCAAAAGATGTGAATCACGGGGGTATGTACTGGGATGAGAATGTTGAGTGACTTTGAGGCAAGAATTGGTCATATAAATCCCCACAGTGATGATAATTTATTGCTATCTGAAAAAAATACTAATTGGTGTTTAATTCTATGTTTGCTCTGTTGGAGTATTTATTAAAATTAAAAGTTAATCTAAAATGAAATTTCAAAAAAGCATTCTTGAAAAGAATGAGAGCCAGTTTAATATAATGGTTAAGATGCTGATCTATAAACCAGGAGACTAAGTTCTAGGCCTCCCTTAGCTATGAAAGCTCACTGAATGACTTGGGGCCAGTCACTCTCTCTCAGTCCTACCCACCTCACAGGGTTGTTGTCTTTTGTGGTATTGATTCTATTCTATCTATAGTTCATTTTTTCTCCCTTTGCTTATTCCATCTGTACTATTCTGGACTGTCAACCTTTGTCTGATTCTAACCTGAGCTTGATTCTAGCTTTTCTATTTCTCTCAGGTTTCCCTTTTATTTCGAGTTGAAAATCGCATTTGTGATCTGGCTGCTCTCTCCTTATACCAAGGGATCCAGCGTCCTGTACAGGAAGTTTGTTCACCCAACGCTCTCCAATAAGGAGAAGGTACTGCAACTTGCCCAATTATCAGACATGAAAATTGAGTCACTTCAAATGTGGTTGGGTTATAGGAAAAAAACCCCTTGAAATTAGTCATGCCCATGTTTATTCATGCTGAATGCATGGCAGCTAGAGCTGAGCATACATAACCTTTCAAAATTGCCTAGCTAATATCTGGACAGAGCTTATTCAAAAATATTTCAAGGGCAGGATTCCTATTTAAGGATGAAAGTAGCATCAACCCAGAAAAGACTTGATGGGAAGAATTCCCTCCTGATTTATTAGTCAAAGTAATGGGCATGAGGGAGATTGCAGGCTATTGGAAAGATTATTGTACAATGAAATGTACTTCATATGCCCTCCTTCTCCTCGTCACTAAATAAGTGCAAGAATGCCAAATGCCATTCCTGTTAAAAGAATTTCTAAAACAAATCTTTATCACAGTTGAATGAGACCTGATAGAGAAATAGTAAGAGAATTTCTCTGCCAATATAAATGGCAGCTAGAGTTAGCCTGGGATCAGATTACCTGAGGGATCATCTTCTCCAAGTGGTTCTACCTGTCCAATTAAGTCTGACATACTATGATGGGCCCCATTAGCCAAGGAATATCCAACTGGTGAAGACTAAGAGACATGCCTTCTCTGCCATAATCCCCACTCTCTGGAACATTTTCCTTTCACACTTGAGGATGACCCCAAGTCCATTGGCCTTTCATAAGGCCTTTGTGCTTGGGTCCGAGGCCCTGAGTGTGTAAAGGTCCCTTTTCCCTGGCTATATTAACATCTATGATAACATTTTTTTCCTTTGCTACCATGTATATTTAATTTTATACTATATTGTAACTTGTGTTTTATGATTGTTTACCACCCAGACTCATTTCTTTGAAATGGGAGGTTATAAAAATTGAATGAATGAATGAATGAATGAATGAATGAATGAATGAATGAATGAAAGAAAGAAAGAGAAAGAAAGAAATACCAGTTGTCCCACTGAGCAAGAATAAATTTGCAATCTGACCAGAATATGCTGACTCTTATTTGAGTAATCATGACTGGGATTTCACAGCCACTTTTAATGAAAGAAGTGGCTGTGCAAGTTGCTTTACCGTGTGTACATGCCAGGACCTTCTATCTCTTTCCTAGTATAGTTTCTAGTATCCCTCTGAAAAGTCATATTTGAAGACTACTTGTTAGGAAAAGCATTTCATGTGATTTAGAAACCTCCAACCAAAAGGAAATCCACAAATCAACAATTTTATCAGGATGTGTGCAAATATGGTTCCCATTCTTTCTTTCTTTTTTAATATAATTTTTATTAAACAGTTTTTTAAAAACAAACAAACAAAAACAGATATTTACATCTTCTTCTTTTCAACATCTTCGCATCTGTAATCCATATTTATACATTTTCTCTTTCTTATCTTAATCTATCTTTTATACATATATTTCTAGTATATCATATATATACTGTTGTAATATATTCTCTTAATCTAAATATTTTATTTACATTTAACATAAAAAGGTACCTAGTTTACTTTCCACAATTTATGTCTTCCCATTTGTTTCCATATTCTTCCACCTAATTTAACCATTTTTTAGTTTTTTTGTCCCCCCCTTTTTTTCCCCCTTTCTCCTCCAACCATGGTTCCCATTCTTTGATAGGATAACCAGGATCTTTCCAAAATGTTCTGCATTTGCTTCATTAATTGATTTTTTTCTTGGATATCTATTTTATGCAAAATATGTGGCAATTAATGGGTGTGCAATTACTTTCCATTGTCTCTTGTAATTCTAGCACATGATAGAGGTACAGAATTATCAATTCGGTGTATGCTTGTGAAAAATAAAAGAAGGATGGTAGTCAGTAGATGACAGAAATTTCTTGTTAAAATTCCTGTGTCTCCTTTTTATAGTAGCTCATGCTATCTCTTGCTAAAAAGTAAGAAGAGCTATGCAGTTTTTCATCCTTCAGAGCAATAACATTCACTGGAATATTAAACTTCTTTTCTTTAATCAGCATCAGATTAACGTTGCTGTCAACTTTAAGTTGATCCCAATTTTTAAAGCTCCAATATGTTGTGCCATCTATTTTATCATAATTTCTTAGAATTTCAGGCTTTGGGTAGCAAATGAGTCACTTTCTACAGTATCATAGTAAAAGAAATTAGGTTTTTATGGAGAAAATGATTGCATAAAAGAATAATGTTAACAAATTAGTTAAATAAATTATTATCGTGTTAGGGAGTAGTAATGCACTAAACTACAAATTGTATCCTTTAGCTGCCTAGCAACTTTAAATTTTATGAAATACATTTTATATTTTCTTGATTGTTTTGTTAATTTGTTGTTGGTAGGGATGCAAAAAAGACCCCCTTTTCCAAGCTAAAGGTTGGTCATACTGCCTGAAAACTACAATTTGTATTTTTTTTGTACTTAAATACAAATCAACATTATGCTGTTTTATATCAGCTGTAAAAGATCCATATATATTTAAATTTTCATGCTTCATTGTGAAATACCCAGAAGTGCCAATTAGGAAATAATTAAGCCCTTCTTTCTGAATGCATTTGATACAGATCATATCAAATGCATTGAAAAGGAAGAGACTAATTATTCCATTTAAGATTCTATTTAAGATTCTGTTTTACGTAAGGTAAAAGTATTCTAACAGACACCAGCACTAGCATTTCTCTCAGAGCTTAACTAGTTCATGAAGCAAGTTAATTTTGGTTAGAGTATACAAATCTGTACTTTTTAATCATCTGTATTTATATTTAGTTCAATGAAACATCTCTAGCGTAAATTAATATCTCAAACTATTACTTTTCTGTACTGCATAATATTCATTGTTGGCCCTTATAGTTTTCGCTGTTCAGGGTGTGAAGTCAGTAGGGAATCCTGGTTTTTTAATGGTTTTTTTTAATTTTTTAACTGTATGAACTTTTATTGATTGATTTGATTTGTGACTTTTACACACCTGCTTTCCTTTGGAAACTCAAGAAGCCTGGGTCTCCAACACCAGAACTCACTGGCCCTAATGATCACTAGGAGTCACTAGGTAGATAGCAAATATTAAAAGTTCATGTTCTGGTGAGATTACAATCAGTAATACCATTTCAGCTGGTGTTGATCAGGAGTAAAAAAAAAAAATCCTCATCTATACGGGATGCTGAAATGTTTGGTACTTTCTCAATTCCTATTAAACATCTACATGAAACTTCTGGGTGAAATCATCCATCACCATGGGGTGAGGTATACCCAGTTGTACATTTCTGCCCCTGGTGAGCTACTGTTTATCTATACACTCTTAGTGCCTAAAGGCTTTGGAGGTCTGGATGGGCACAACAGGTTTCAGCTGAATCCTGGCAAGACTGAGTGGCTTCAGATTTTAGAGCCTTCTTTTATCTGGGGATTTAGCAACATTCATGCTCCAAGCCAGGGGTGAAATCCAGCAGGTTCTGACAGGTTCTGGAGAACCGGTAGCGGAAATGTTGAGTAGTTCGGAGAACCGGCAAATACCACCTCTGGCTGGCCCCAGAGTGGGGTGGGAATGCAGATTTTGCAATATCCTTCACCTGCCATGCCCACCAAGCCACGCCCACAGAACTGGTAGGGAAAAAAATTTGGATTTCACCCCTGCTCCAAGCCTAATAGACCCGGTGTGCAGCTTGAGGGTTCTTCTGGACTTACAGCTCCTACTCAAAGAGTAGGTGGGAGTCATGGCTAAAAGGGTCTTTGCACAAGTGGCATGCCAATTATGCTCATTTCTGGATTTTGGAGGCTCTACTCATGCCCTAGCCACCTCTAAAACTGACTACTATAATATGCTGTACATGGGTCTGTCCTTGAAGAGCATCCAAAATCTTCAGCTGGAGCAAAATGCAGCAGCACAGGCAGTTATACATGTCTTGGTGTTAATATCAGATTTGTGTATTGAAGGTATTTCAATTTTATCTCGATGTGATCTATTGTTACCTCTATCTCTTTGCCTGCCTGCCTATCTATTATTTATCCATCCATCCTTTTCTGTAGACTATGCGTAATGTGGTTTATGCATATCAAAATCACAAAGAGAGTAATTAAAAATTAATGTAAATGAATAATAATGAGTTGAAGTCCAGAACTGAGTGTCTGCAAACCAAAGTGAAGGAACTGGGATCGCTCACTGCAAGAAAGTAGTATGGCAGTGATTTTCATGGGTTCCAACCAAGGGTGAAATGCTACTGGTTTGGGCCAGTTCACCCAAACCGGTAGTAAAAAATGCTACTGGTTCACCGAACTGGTAGAAAAAAATGTTAAAAGAGTTCCGACAATCAGCTGAGCGAAGTGCGATCGTCAGAACTTTTTAAAAAAACTTTTTAAGCATTTTTTTACTACCTGTTTGGGCGAATAGGTAGTTTAAAAATGCTTTAAATAAGTAAATAAAAAAGGCTCGGGTGATTGTGTGGCACAGCTGTGATCGTCCGAGCCTTTTTTTTTACTTTTTTAAAGCATTTTTTTACTACCTATTCGCCCGAACCGGTAGTAAAAAATGCTCTTAAAAAGTTAAAAAAAGATTCCCAAGATCGTGTGCCACAGCTGATGCCCCCCCCCTACTATTCTGCTTACCTTCCCAAGCCTCATTTTGGTGTGAACTGCACATGTGTGTGCACAATGCGTGCTTGGAACACAGTGCGCATGCGCGGCCAGCAAACCGGTTCAGATTTCACCACTGGTTCCAACACTCCCATTCCCTGGTTGCTGGTAAAATCACATACAATGTTCTCTCATCTATAAAATATCCCAGCCATCTAGAACAAATTGGAGCAGGAGACAGAAAAGATTTTGGGGTTGTGAATAAGTAGAAATCAACCTTCTTTTTATTTCAGACCAATCAGGTCTGAACATGAAATGTTTCGGCAGTTCAGAAGAGGAAAGGAAATAAAGCAGAAATAACACAGAAATAAGAATGTTTAATATAAGGCTACAGAAAAGCATTTTATAATTAAACTCAGTGAAATTTACTCTCAACCACACCTCACATATCCTTCCTTCTAGCTTTCCCACTTCTATCCTATATCAGAACTAGGAAAAGAAAAAAAAAACCCAGACTCTAAAGGAAAGTGTTCTGTTTCTGAAGATCTGATGAGATAGTTGTATTTTTGATTTCTGTTCAGGGAGCAAATGATGAATGCAGCACAATATCCTGTGAATTTATAATACAATGTCATATATTTATACGAGAAGATGGAAAGACAATGTGCATACTGTTACATGTATTTATAGTACCTTGCAATTTGAGGAGAATCAGAAAATATCCTGAGCCTGTTGTCAGATAGTACATGTCTAGGAGTGCAGGTTATTCACAGTGGCACAACTCTGTAGGTACAGTATGAAGTATATAGCCTTACCTCACCATATTTGGTCACTGACTTCAGGCACTTTTCTCCCAGTCTGCTTCACTACTAATGAGAGAGAGAGAGAAAGAGATTAAATAAATTAATCTGAGTAGCAGAGCACAAGTAGTCGTTCTCCTCATCCGAATACACTTTTTGAAATTAAAAATGAGCCTTTTAAATTTGTAAGAGAATTTATAAGAGAATTAAACTTGTAAGAGAATTGGCTTTCATATAAAAAATGGCATCCAAGATATGTCTAGGTTGACTTTTAGTTTTATAGGGTTAAATTAACTTGAAGTGCTCGTGTAAATTGACATTGACACTATTTACATTGAAGTGTGTGGGCACTGGAATAGTGAATTCCAGTGCCCACACAGTTCATTAAATCTTTACTAAGAATGATCAAATATCTGAAAAACAGCCATGAAACACCAACCACCTAAAACAGTAGATAATATACTATTAGAATACATACCGGGTACTTATCAGGGGCTTTATCAAACTTATAATCTAAAATAAAAATAAGCCAGGCTTCTGTGGTATATCAATTGATATCTTTTTATCTCGTGCTAATAGATTTGCTTGTAATCAGATATGATGATCCCTATTCAGATTATCAGTGAGCAATATGAGGTATTCTGTGGTCCTGCTGAATTTTGGTATGCATTGACAAACTATATTATTATATAGGAAACTATATAAAATTATATATCGTTATACAGGAAACTATGCTGTCAATTAGTATGGAATATATAACATTTTTCTTATATGCTCCAAATACCTTTTCTTATCCCATGATATATATTATCTAGAGATAATTTGTAGCCCATTCTGATCAGGAAATATTTACTAATACGTTTGAGAATTTATTTTATTATTGATAGAAGGTGATTCATTAGGACAAATTGGAAGATTTGCCTTCTATTTCAGTGCTGAAGCATAAAGATCTAATGCACTCCACAAGGCTTAGAATCTTGTATGTATGCAGCTTATGCTAGAATTTTATAGGTAAATAATGTTTATTACTAAATGTAGCTTTACTTCACTTAAATCCTAGGAAATAGATGAATATATTAGCCAGGCCCGTGACAAGAGTTATGAAACTATGATGCGTGTTGGCAAGCGAGGATTAAATCTGGCAGCAAATGCAGCAGTTACTGCAGCTGCAAAGGTAACTCCTTATATCTTTATTTAATATCTGCCCTTGTTCCCTTTTGCTTGGTAATTTTGGTGTTTCCCTTCACTGTATTCATTTTCTTACTGTCGACTAAGCTACATGCCATTTGGGCTGTTTCTTCATGTTAGAGAAAAGACAGTCATTTCATTTTCTATCCAAATTGTGTCATTGATGTTCCATTTTCTTGCCTTTGCATTTAGTTTTTCATCAAATGTTCTTTCAATGTTCCCCTTAAGATGCATTCTGATGTAGTACATGTGGATAATTGTAACTAGAAGTTGTGTTTTAAAGGGCCAGGGGGTTTTGTCTGAAAAACTTCGGAGTTTCAGCATGCAAGACTTGACTTTGATTCGAGATGATGACACAATGCATTTGCAAAGCCCTGAGTCACACATGCATACGTCTTCTAAGGGCCATCTTGAAACTATTGATGATTCAGGTTAGTGAAGTCAGTCTCTATTAAATTTATTGATTTATATGTCTGATCAAACTAAACACTGAAGCTGGTTTATAATTTAAAGCAACACATGGACACACAAAAGATAATTCAACCTACAACAAATGAAAACAGATAAATAAAAATCCGTACCTGTTATAGAAATGAATTAGCAAGGGACTTATTTTTACATGTTAACGCTTTATAAATGACTTTATATTGTTCTGTGAATGCAAGTATAAGAGCCTTTGTATAAAGGTTTTAAGAGTCTGTCTTAAAGGAGAAGATAATTTACCTCTTGCATTTTCCTGGAAAAAAGAAAATATTATCTCCTGCATCAAAGGGCACCTGTTCACCTGTATTTTTAAAGTTTATCCTCCTCAGCTGCATGTAAAAGAGAGCAGGATACAAAACAGGAGCTTTCTTCTCCTTGCATATAGTGACCATAGTATATATTCTTGCACTCTGTCCATATAGATCTTTATTCAACCAATGAACCTGACTTGGAAAGGGGATTTGGTAGAAACAGGAGAATTTGATTACATAGCTGTATGAACAGGCTTTTCATATCCTAAATGTAACTATTCATTTAATTCATTTAAGTATACTATAAAATAGTAGAGAAAAAGAAAGGCTGCCTAGAGTGGAGGGAATAGATGGGTTGTGAAGTTACTGCAGCTCTTTTTTTTATAAAGGAGTGGAATTTCAGTTATGAGATTCAGAAATACATTTAATTTCATGTTTCCCATGACCTTGAGTTCAGTTCGTGGTATATAAATATACTCGTTTTTTTTCCTTGCCTCTATATTTTGAGTATCTTTTTTACCTTTATGAAGCAGTCCCACTATTGTTTTTCTCCTTAGGTGCATCTTTTTACTCTTCATCTGAGGACATGGCTATGACTCAGAGACATAATGGAACACAGTCTGATTCTAGAACTGAACCATCTGATGATGATACAGGAGACAAAGTTCCCAAACGAACCCAGAGCCTTAAAGCTCCTAAGAAAACAATAAAGACTGAGGTGAGATGGCTTGCAGTTGTATGGATCCCCTATGTGTACATTGCAGCTTCTTAAAAAATAAAGGGTGGAAATACTTGAATCATATAATGGCACAAACATACATGCTTCACCATGATACCCTTTCCTTTTTTACTTCATCACTAAGGCTTTAACACAGTGTCTGCCTTTCCCAATAAATCAGCCTTCATTTTTGTTTTACATTATTTTTCCACTCAGCCAGAATTTAAATAAATGAAAGCGCTCTGATAAAAAACATTCCTGTCTCGATACGGGTGTTAACCATTTCCTTATAAATAGTAACATGTGGCATGATTTGACTTGATACCATTACGTACATTGTAATTTCATCACTGTCTGGAGAGCAAACTCTTCCTTGAAAATTCTCATCTGAATACAATCAGAACTGAGAATATACATTTTTCAATTGAGGGTCAATATCTTGGCTGCAGAAGCATCATTCTCATATTTGTTAATCAAATCTTAATTTTTCTATTCTTATTTTTCTAAACAGTATCTTCTTTCACCCTCAAATTCTATTTTTTCTATTCTTAATCATATACATTCTCCTTAATTTTATTTTTTATTAATTCAATATTTATCTTAATATATTTAAACGTGTTCGGGGATGCCTTTCTTCCATTTCATCTTTTTTGTTTTACAACAATCTTCTTTCTCTTTCCCTTCCTCTCCCTCCCTTCTTTTGTCCTTCCTACCTTCTTCCCTCTTCTCCTATTCCTTCGCTACTTCCCCTTCCTTTCTCCCCCTCCTTCTTTCCTCCCGCCATCTAACCTTCCCTCCTACTCTTATTCCCCTTTCCTTTCTTCCTCTCCTCTTCCCTTTCTTCTGTTCCTCTCTCTCCTTCTCCCTTCCTTCAGTCTCCCTACTCCTTCTTCTATCTCTATTGCTGTATTCATTTTCAATTCAATGCTTTTTTCCTATGGTGTCCAGGCATCTCCGTTTTTCTTTCCCTTTATTGCATATATTCCTCAAAATTCCCATCATATTTTAAAATTCTTAACATTATGTTTCAACTTGTTTCATTTTTACCTTAAAATCTTTCAACTTAATTAATTTTCCACCTCTTATTTCCATTTCAATAGTTATTTTTCTCTTTTCCTAATATTTCAATTGCTTCCTGATATTTTAACATATAGACCATTTCTATCTCTGCTGGTCTACTTACAACAATTTCCTACATCATTTATTTAACATTTCAATTTCATTTGTTACTTCAATTTCCTTTGTTTTTTCAATCTTTAGCACACATTTCTTTACTTTCATTTTGATTTTATGTCTTAATTTCAATTAAGTATTCCCTTTTACAGTAATCTATATATTTATTCCAGTTGATTTCTTACATACCACTTCTACTACTAATGCCATTCCCTTAAATCAACATATCACTGCTTTAATTCCTTTCTACATTTTTTCCTTTCCCCTTTTAACCATTTTCTTTTACACTCTCCTGAATTCCACCTCTTGATATTTTCTCCCCTTTCTCCCATTCACTTATTTCTTTCTTCCTCTTCTTCTTTTTGTGTTTATTATATCCTCCTTCCTGCATCTTTTCTCTAATTTTTAACTTTATTACCCTTTTAGTTCTCCCCCTTTCTCTTTTCCCATTTCCTTCTCTTTTCTTCTTTTTTGAGAGATATTCCCCTCTTTCTGTTTTCATTTTATCACTGTTAATCTCAGTGTGATCATCTATATTTTTTCCTTCAATTATTTTCTTTCTCACATTATATTTTTGCTTCTCATTTATATTTCCTCTTTCTTTCTTTTTGTATTCTATCCAATCTTCCGCTTCTTTGTTTCCCTTAAATGCTTCTCGCACCTTTTGCAACATCTCCCTCAACTCCTCGTACTCATGTTCCCAATTTTCCATATTTTCAGTTTAAAAAGAAATAACTTTTAAATTTATTTTTATTTTCACTTATATATAGTTCGAATTCAAGTCCATTTAATGTCTTTTTTGTTTTCTTTCTTCTTTCCAAATAGTATCCAATTCAAATAATCCTTTTAAGTCTCCCCAGTTCAAGGTTTTATTATTTCAAGTTCTTTTTGTAATCTTACTGCAGCTGTTTAAACAAATACTCCCCATATGGCTTTTCACGTTGATTTAAGTGCAATATTTCTTTTCCATCAGCAAATGACTCTCTCCAATCCACAAATCCCCAGGCAAAAGTATCAATTGTAAATCCACAAAAGTAGTGCTTTCTGTTCTTCAATTAGTGCCTTTTGTTGTTAAATAAATGCTTTGTCTCAATTTCCTTTTCTTTATATTTATTCTTAATTTCTTCCAAGTCCAATTTAAATCAGGTGGTTAGTTCTCCTTTTAGGGCTTTCATTTTTAAAGTTCCTCTTTTTTTTTTCTCCTTCGTTTTAATTTCCCGGATGCCAATTAGCCGCTTATTTCAGGTTGGGACCTCTTTTAAAGTTAAAAAAAAATTCTTCTTACTTATGAATTGGCCAATCACTCATTCAGTAACAATACTCAGTTTCATTATCGCTCCTCGTTCTTTCTCCCTTATCTTGCGTATGGCTGCTTGGCTTTTGACAGCTCCTAAAGACTGTCTTCCCTTGCTGCTGGGTTGGAGGCTGATGCAGACACTTCAGGGAGTTTGCAACCTCCCTGTTCATGCCTGCCTGTGCTTCCGTTCTTCACTGTCCCTACAGGACAGCTATGATCCCTGGGGATCCCCTAAAGCAGCTGAGATATCAGCATTTTCCAGGAGCCCCGGAATTTGCTGTACCGCCACTGGCACTGGCCACACCCCTCCTTCCCTATTCCTTTTTCTTAAATCCTTGTCTTTTCATGCTAAAATTCCTTAAGCTGATTGCTTGGATACTTATTAAATTTCTGTCTCACCTTCCCAATAAAAATCTTTCTATTAAAAACTGTATTACTGTAATATTGACAATAATAAAATAAGTATACAATCTTACCTCTCTTTTTATTGAAATATGTTACTGCTGTTATATAACTTCCAGACATCCCAATCACTAGTTCAGTTGTTAGAGTACTACTACTAGTAAAACAGAGGATTTAAGAATCAGCATTTTTAGCAATGCTGCTCGTTTTTTTGAAGCTCTGTTAGCTCAGTGGCGAATTAAATAAAACCGTTTTTCAAAATATCTTTTTTTCAGCTAATGTAATGTTGTGCATCTCTTGCTTGCTCTACAGCCTCCACAGAAGGTAGTGAAAGCCCGTCCCAAGAAGAAAGCTACAGGCTCCACTGCTGTTGGCGAATCAGCCTAAGGACAATCCAACTGAAAATCTGTCCCAGAGCGCTCTTCTGCCACTGTGAGGGACACTCTCCAAGGAATGGGAGCTGAGATCATGTACATAACAGCTACTGCTTTGTAGAGCTCATTCCCAGGCGAGATGGTGATTGAAATTTGGCACACAGATCAGAGGATGGCCATCCTCAGGAATTATATACTCTTCATCTCTGTGATGGAAAATGCTAATCTGTCTGTATATAGCCTGTTGTTTTGGGATTCCCTCTCCATGTGTAACCCTAGTAGAGAAACTCTTTGCTGGAATACCTCTTTAATTAGGGTTAGAACCACTTTTGGCAGAGAGGCTGGTTAAAAAAAAAATTGGTGCAATTGAAATTCTAATTTGCATGGAGAGCTCCTAGTAGCTCTTCACTTGCTGTATGATTTAGCTGCTATGGGGAATTGTTGGGAAGTGCCTGAAGCAAGGTGACTGGTACTGAAAACTATCCTTTCAAAATTGTTTCAGCAAAAGAAAGAAGGAGAAGTGATAGTTTGCTGTAAACGCAACATCTTCGCTGTCCGTGAAGTGGGTTTTAGCAAAGAATTTCTTGGCAGGGGGTGGGGGTGGGCGGGCTGCAGTGACTTTGAGGAAAAGACTAATAGTGATGAGAATGAAAGTGGCTGGCTTTGCTACCAGTATCTGGTCTTTCTATGCAGAAGCCTCTTTTGCTTGGGTGGAATTATTGTGACTTTGCTTATGTTAAGTATTGGAAAGGGGAAATGTTTTTTTAAAAGTAGAGGAAAGATGACAAAACTAAGTGAATCGTGGCTGGAGGACGACATATGGGAATGCTTGAGCCTAGATCACTCTCTCCAAAGAGTTAGAATCCTGAATAATTACAATCTAAGTATCAAACCTTTGGACCCCTTCTTCAGAGTTGCCTTGATATTTTAGGTTTTATAGATTGGTCTGTTTTCTGTAAGAATTATTTCAAAGAAGTGGTTGCGTGAAAGCAGTTGGTCAATAGTAAGCTGAATGGTACATAAGTTTCTGCTGGCTTTTGTTTGCAGTCAGATTATAAATTGAAGTTAATCAGTACATCCAGGCAAGCTGGCCAAAAATAATAATCCTTTTTGGAGTTTTTCTGAGTGGCATTTTGTAATAAGTGGTAGGGACATTTCCACTTATTCTAAATGTAAACAATTGATGCGGCTACTCAGCTCTCAGGAATTACTACTTTCTACCATCCAAATCTTCCATTGTTCTCTACTTGTGCTATTTACTTGGTAGAGACAGTACTGTTTGGTGTTAGGTGACCACAAGAATTCAGATTTTATATAGAATGATGATAGTACCTAATTGGTAATGAAACAACTGCAAGAAAGCAACCAAGCTCAGAGAGAAACAAGGACCCTATAGAATTACAATAAAATCAATGAAAGTAATCCTTAAAATGTACCGTTTCACAAACTTTAACATAAATACAATAATCTAAAATTATAAAGTTAGGAAGCTTAGATAAATACTAGTGACTCTGATTTTTACTAGGTTAGCTCCATTTTATGAATACCATATACATCAAGGCCACCAGTCTTTAAAGATGAAGCAAATCTTTGCCTATTAGGTTTATTCACAAGATCTTAGGTGGCAGTATCAGCTTTTAGATATGCAACATAACACTTCAGTGTGTTGTTTGAAAACTTGTTTCCTAGCACAGGCTACCGCATTTACTAATTTCTAAACACGTTTGTTCAAATTAATCTATACTGAGTTCAGTGGGACTTATGTCCTAGTAAGCATACTTTCCAAAGTTGCCTCTTTAAACTAACTCTCTTGTTTTGCATTGTTGTTATGAGATGCAGAGATAATTAAGATTACAAAGGAATTTCCTTTAAAGAAATTGTTTTTAGTCTACTTCCAGTTAAAATTACACATCCCTCCACTTTGTGTTGAACTTCTGGTTTGGACATCTGTCAGTTCTTTTTCCGCAAGGACAAAGAGAATATTCACAGTGTATTTGCTGTTCTCTTTCCTCCCGGGCAGTGTTTAATGCCAAAGACTTGGCAAACAATTAAATGCATTTTTTAAAATTTGTCAAGGATACCCTAAATATGAAATTAGCCTTTTAGTAGTTGGAAAATTGACTTTGCTGAGAATAAAAATATAGAAGCCTGCTATACTTTCTAGTTAGTTGATTGCTCTTTCCCAACACTCTGCAATTATTCTTGAGTGGTCCTGTTTACAAGGGGTTTAGGTATGAAACAACTCCATTTATATATAGAAAATATGACTAGGAAAAGGAAGTGCAGTTGGAGTCTGGTTTGACTGTACTGAAAACCTTTATATTTCTGCAGTATTAGGGGGGGAGGAGTGCTCCCTTCCAGAGTGAAAGTTGCAAGGCTTTATCCAACTGCTCTTTGTGTTTTACAGCACATTCTGATTTTTTTGTTTATACATACCGGCACCTTTTATTTCTCACAACATGTATATTAGATTGCTCCTGGGAGTCGTGATTCTTTGTTTGTCAGTGATTTGCACAGAAGTTAATGGATTAGGTTCACAGCAATCATTCTTGTACATTATTCTCAGTTTCCGCAGTGACTGTTAGCAGTACTTTCCTGGATAATTAAAGCTCCTGCAAGAGGCTTGTCGCTCTATAAATTCACCTTCTCCCCATCCCATCAAGTCTAGTCTTGAGAAAACTTCTATTGTAAATGTTCAAATTAGCCTGCCCTGGATACGCTTGTCATTTACATTATTTGTTCATGTTCGCATTGCAGCCGTGTGTGTGTGTGTGTGTGTGTGTGTGTGTGTGTGTGTGTGTAAGTGTGTGAAATTCCTTTCTCACCCCATGAATTGTCTGCATCTTCCTCAATCTTATGTCTTCTACCAGAGGCCTGGACATTTAAGGGTTCTGTGCAGTATCTTAGATCTTTCTAGCACTGTACTCTTCTTGGCAGAGAACTCTGATGTTGGAGCCCTTCTCCTAGTCTAAGAGTCACAGCCCTTGGGATCATTTTGGTCTTTATTTTTCTCATCCTCTCCAGTTCCTCCTTCAGGGCCAGGTTCTTTTCCAGCATCTCATACTCCTCCTTCCTGATGTTTCTGTCACTTGACACATCTATCACCACCTCTGTCTTCGGGTTCTTTCTTTCTTTCTTTCTTTCTTTCTTTCTTTCTTTCTTTCTTTCTGTCTTTCTTTCTTTCTCTCTCTCTCTCTCCCTCCCTCCCTCTCTCTCTCCCTTCCTTCCTTCCCTCTTTCCTCCCCTCCCTTCCCCTCTCCTCCCCTTCTCTCTGCCCTTCCTCTCTCTCTCTCTCTCTCTCTCTCTCTCTCTCTCTCTCTGTGTGTGTGTGTGTGTGTGTGTGTGTGTGTGTGTATGATACTCATGACCGTTCACTTTTTTGACACCTTTCAAGAACATTATATCACTGGCCTGCATTCAGCTTTGTAGATATATATTACAGCCTTAACAGATCTTTCATTTTGGTTGTCAGTCTGAGTTTAAAGGATCTGACAGCTCTGTTATGTGGTTCCTGGATATTTGGCTTAGTGTTTTTCTTGTTCACTTCAGTGCTGAAGATGTGGCTTCTTCTAACTTATTTTTGTACTAATTAAAAACAATGCCCATGATTTTCATCAATGTCATTTGAACTTCTGTTGCAAATGAGAGGAATGTTAGTATATTTCACATGGCTCTTATTCATTTCTGGGTTTTCAAGATTCCTAGGATGATTCAGGGGAGTAGATTGGTATTCAAATTCTTTATTTGAAATTCACTTTTTTCCTGAATGAATGCAATCAAAACACATGGTATTAAATATATAATTAAACATTTTGCTGATTTTTAAAAACTGTAAGTATCAATTGAAACAGAAAAAGGAACTAATCAGGTATGGGCATATATGGGATGATATTTAAGTTTTTTCTTGTACACCAGCTGCTATTCGATATAAAAGGAAAATTCCAGTTAGCATCAGTGAAAACTTTCAGATTAATGTTTGGCAGGACTATTGCATAGGAAAGAAAGGAATAATTTTTATTGGATTCCTAATGCAGATCAGTCTCCCTTTCCAGCAGTTGTTATTTATAGTGAGAAAAAGTTATACAGATTACCTGTAAGTAATCCATTCTGGGAGTGAATAATTTCCTTACATAATTATAGGACTACCAGATCTAAAATATAAAAATCTGAACAGCCACTGGATAACAGCAAAGAATTTGAATTTATTGCCATCTAATGATCCATCAAAGATATTTTCAATCAAGTCCTAATAGCCCGATTAAATACATTTTTGTTAAATGCCACAACTGTATGCACAGTTATTTGGACAAATCCGCGGTTTGACAATAGAAACACTGTGTGCAGCATATGCGCATATAAAAAGATATTGCAAAACTACAAAAGATGTAGAAAATGACAACAGCTCCCCTCTGTGGAAAGATACTGTTTTTTTTGTTTATAAAAATGGCAAGCAAGAGGAAAATGATAGAGGTCTATGGAATTAGGCGTATTTTCTTCCCTATTTCATCATATTAAAACTCAGCGCCATGCAGTGAAGTTAAATGTAGGAAGTTCAGGACAAATAACTTTCAGCATTTCTCCACACAACTCATAGTGCATAACTTTGAGGGATTGGATAAATGCACGGAGAATCATAAGGATATGCAGGAGGCCGGACTGTTGCAGGATTGTGATGCAAACTCTACACTTTACATACTAGTATGCAACAGTAAAGAAAGTACAAAAAGACGAAGTTTGCATTGTGATGTCACAAGTTTAGTCATTTTGGCTACATTAAGAACAGCCACCTAAGTGGAGAATGGTTATTAATTATGACAATTATCAGATGTTTCTGACTAATTCTGGTTTAGGAGCACAAAGGAAATTATTTATTTAATTTATTTATTTATTGCGATTTATATGCCGCCTTTCTCCCTAGGGACTCAAGGCGGCTTACAAAATGACAACATCAATACAAATCACAATACAATACCAAATTAAAATCAGTAACCCAATTAAAAAACGATTTAAAATTATACCAGCGTATACCAATTATGCTGTTGCCTTCATGTTCTATCTACGAACTTCCCATAGGCATTTGCTTGACCAGTGGCTGAATAACTGATGGGCTATGGTCTGATTGATCCAATAAAGCTGGACTGAAAGATTATATCATTAGTGCTTTATGCTGAAAGATTCTGACAATGAGACTGTTACAGAGAAACTAATAATTATTTAAAATTTGTAACTTCAGTTCACATTAGTTTTATAAAACAGTTCTTGATTTGCCCTTCAGAATGGAAGAACTAAGATTATCTTTGGTAATTTAATAGCAAATGTAGAGTGCTCAGGTTCTGCAGGATCACAGTGCATACCTTGTTGTTTGCAATGCCACAGATATGCTCCCAAAATTCATTTAAAAATTCCCCCCAAATTTTAATTGTGAAAATTATGGAAACTTTAATTTAATTAATTAGTCAGATTGTACTCATTTTAATTACAGTTTTTGTTCTGCCCCTACCCCTTCCTTTATCCTAGTTAGGTTCACTGTACAACAAATCACTCAAAGACCAAGTGTGACCCTCAGTCCATCAAAGGTGGTACAGCCATTATCGAAGGGGGTGGTAATAATATAATTCTTATCCTGTGTTCATATCATAGTCTTCCTGTTGTGATTTGTATCATTACAATTACAAAATATAACGTTATTTAGAGGAAGAATAACATGTCTGACTATCAAAAAGTTGGATTGTGTTATTTTATATATAAACCAGACAGTGTCAAATATTTATTCAGGAATTCAATGCCTTTTATGTTTTCAACCAGTGCTGCTTGTATGGGGTAGAGTAAATATCGACAAAAGCTTTTATCTCCATTTCAGGAACAAATGTACTTTCTTACAGTGCTTAGAATGAAACATTTTTTAATACCATGGCTGTGGTATTCAGGTTTTTGCATTATTTCTTTTTTGTTTTGTTTTTTCAGTCAAATTGGTCATAACATTAGTAACAGTTGCTTTTATGTTTGTGAGTGTTCAGTGAAGCACAAAAAGGGCAAGCTGTTATTGTAAACAAACAAGACTTTTGAGTTTTGCATAATCTTTCATTTTGGAGCAGCTTATTAGCTGATAAAAAGCACTCCATTTTCAGTGTTGATATATAAATCCAGTGTTCGGCAACATAATCTGTGCTCCCAAATTCAGCTAGCTCCTTTAGCCAGAATTATTGCAAGGTTTAGCCTGTTATGTGTTTACATTTTCACTTATGTTATGTCAAAGTCATCCTTTGCAATCATAAAATGACTTGTTTGAATCTTCATGGGAGCTCAGGAGGAGAGCCAAAAATTGTGGTTTATAATCCTGAAATGTCAGCAATTTGCTTTCTCTGTGGTAGTCATGACAATATGGCAGTGTACATTTTCTCTGTTTCCTGCCAGAGAAAATAGCTAAAAAGAGGTACAGTGTGTCAAGCATTTTAACATGTTACCTTGATTATGGATATTATATCAGTTCTGCAGAAATCTATAAGAGCACTTGGTGGCAGCAAAGATCTATTTGCTGCTAGCTAATCCTCACTTGGATTTGTGAAGCCCTAATCTTGATTGTTCATTTAAAATTTTATTGATTGTTTTGCTGCTATGAAAAGTCCTCAGCATAGATACTTATTGAGTTTAGAGAACAGTTTTTCAAACAATTGGGGGAAGTATCCACTTAGAGGCTATATACCAGTATGTATAACCTTTAGACAGAGAGAATGTGAATGAAGTACTACCTCTCGGCAGTGTTCCGTCATTTATTAATATATTTAATGTTTTAAAATAAAATATCTTGAAGCATGAAATGAACCAGGAAACATTGACTTGTGGTATAGGTAATCAATTTAGCCCCCATCCCTTGACTTGTATGGGACGATTCAAAGCATCTGGTATTAACAGTTATACCAGAAAAGAAAATGAAAAAGTCTTGCCTCTCCTCGGCAGTCTTGCATGTGCTGTTCCCTAGAATAACTGACTGAAACAACTGTCTGCATTTTGGGGAAGAGGAAGAATATCTTTACTTCTGAACAGGGCAGGGTAGAACAAGGAAATCTAACTTGCAGAATCAATGATTGGAGGAGATTGTCCCACAGGACAGATATGACTAAGCTGAGGAATAAAAGGGGATTTCCAAGAAGATGAGATAATAACTACTTGTTCCCAAGTTCTGTTTAGACTTGGAGGATGAGTCAGCTTACATGAGCTGATACAAATAGCTCAACGTATCAGCAGTCAACTTTGGTGAAGCCGTGTCTTCTTCTTCTTGAGCAAATGCTCAGCAGAACACAGCTCAACTGCTGCACACCATTATATCAAGTCTCATAGTTGAATAAGCAATGAGAAACATTTCCTTTGCCATGTCTCAACCACACAGTAAGCTACTTTCAAGGTGTCATCTGCATAGATATTTGCCATACCCATCATGTCTGACAACTTACCTCTTCTTAAAAAGAAGAAGGCTACCTCTTCTCTATTCACTGTCCTCACAGCTGCTGATTTAGAGTGGAGATGTTGCTTGTCTCTTCCATCTTGCAGTGACCTCCTTAAGATATTGCTCTGTTCGATGCAAATTAGTTTACTAATCCAGAAAAGCTTGTTTTGGGATCTTTCCCTCCTCCAGGTATCGTTATTCTGACTCATGGAACACCTGTAAAAATATTTGTATCTCACCTCTAAAAAGATGTACCTGCTGCCTTATAGGAGGAGACTGTTGCCTCCTCTTTTTGGGGAGGTAACCATTCTTGTGTATGTGAAATTGCTGCATTCCTGAAAAGAACATCCTTCTTTTCTTTGGCAGATACCCTTATGCCTATTTTCACACATGCCAATCTATATATTTTGCCATAACTGACTTCTTAAAAAAAATATGTGGATAGCAAGGAAAAATTATAGTAAGAGCAAATATTCCGGAATTTACATTCGCACATTAAAAATGTGAATTGGAATTCCAGAATATGGATATTCCTACCTAATGCCTGTATACTATATGTATGTCAGAACCTCTGTGCAACTCACCCATCTACTGTATATTATTTGTCAATCTTTAGTAATGATTTAACTGATTTTTGCAGGCTCTCGGTGGTTTATGAGATTTATTTCTATCACTTTCTATCATTTTATTAATGGTCATAGTTAGTTGTGGCCCAGTAAGAAAAGTATTAGGGAAATGTTTATTTGCATGGTTATTTGAATTATTTTAATTGAAATTGCACACACATAAGATACACACACACACTACATTATACCACATTTGGTGGTGGAAACACTACATTTGGTAAGCGTTTTGTTTGAATTATTATTATTTAATCCATTTGTTCTTAGTATAGCTTGGTAATAACTCACTTGATAGAACTTTATTAGATTCTGTTTCTCTTCTGTTCCAAACCCCTTAAACCCTTTTTCTTTGCATATTTGTTACTGTTCAGAATGTTTGTGCTAAATTTCCTTTGTCCTCAACACAGTATGGCAGCTATCGAGCGATTATAATTCGAAATTAAAATATTGGGGCCAGTGAAATCTAATGTGTTGTGGAATTCCAGAACAGATGGTGCACTTTACAATAGTCACCCATGCTATGAAATCAATTTTTTCTGAACTTCTCTGAGCCAAAATGATGGATTTTTATGTTAGATTTTGGGTCTCTGAAGCTGATAGATATTTGAACAATATTTGAACAAGTGTTTGCAATTCCAGTATCAAAGCTGCTACCGTACTATTTGCAATGAGGAAGTGGAATCAGAAATAACACGGAATGTACAAAAAAATATATCAGTCTCTGTCTCTTCAATACTTTAAGTCATGTTGTAAGTACTAAAAACATCACCAATTTCCTTCTACCAGTTGCTATATGTAATTTCAGAATGGTTTCCCCCCCCCCTTTTTAAAGGTCCCTTTTCAAGTAGTATATCAGAATTCAAGATGCTGTTTTTGTCTACAGTACACTGAAAGAAAATGTTTGTCACCATTTCAAACTATTTTCCCCCATACTGTTTTCCAAACCATTTTTGGAAACTTACCTTCCCAAGACCCAGTTAAAAGTGCTCCTTCCTCATCTTCCTTTTTCATTCCCACAATGTTTTGCTGCAGTGGATAGTGAAGGTTTCCCAAACAATTTGAAACTCTGAAAAATCTGGATTTAAATCCCAAAAATATGGAGAGGTTGCAGCATTTCTTGGACTCACACACAATCCCAGGAAAAGGCATTTTTATTTTATTTATTTATTTGTATGCTGACTATCTCATTATCCAAAGCGATACTGTTTAGTTTAAAGAGAGGCATCAAGTACAACATTCCCGCCTCCAAGCACTCTAAATTACTTCTTCCTCTTGCCATGCAAATTACTGCACAACTCAGGTAGAGATACTACTGCACCAATAAGTTTCTTGTTGCAAAGGTTGAACCTAACATATGGTAGGATATAGGGACAAGCAAGAGGCAGAACCAATAAACTAACTGTTCCTTGCATTTTTAACTTGGCCAACAGCACCTATTGTTTGGGTGGATTATATTAAAAAAAATCACAGTAAAATAACATATTTGTATGATTTTAATCACATCTTCTTACAATGCTATCCCTATTTCTGCAAGGATTTCTTTTTCCAAGTTCCAATATTTCTTCACACCAATTCAAGCTAGATAATAAAGCTGTAGCATGGACATTTAAGTTTTCAATATCTGCTATCTTTAATTGTCCATGTGTAGTTGTTAATTTAGGAAAATCTAATAAGATAATAGGTCCAGCTTTCTTTGTCTATATTCTGAAAGAGATTTAATACGTCACAATATTGTTTTTTACACATATATTTTGCCTGGTCAAAACCACCTGGATTTAGTGTACTTCTCGTCAGTGATACTGTTCATGTTCATATATCCGTAGTGTGAAGAAAATGACAGAAACAATGTAAAGCTACACATTTCAGAGAAAACAGTCTGATTTTGGGCAAACTAAAAGTTCAAGCTAGATAAAACAGCCTTTATATAAGAGTAAAATTATATCAAAAGTAACTTTTTGGTGAATGCATTTGACAAAGTACTGTTGCAAAAAGGCACTGAGTTTACCTGCCCTGCCTAGTTTACCCCATTGTCAGAATGGACAGGCAACTGTTTTGGAGGACAGAAATGAATGACATTGCCTTCTATGAATCCCACTTACCTTCAAAATGATCTCAGGATGCATTTCTCTGCTATGCTTCGAAGTGCACTTTTCCATATTGTATCACCTTGAGCATCTTGGATGAAATATTTTCTTTTAAAAGCTGTTGTCTTCTCTGTCCATGTCAGCTAAAAACATTAAATCAGGCTGGCAATCCAGATTTAAATAATCTAATAGCAAAATCAACAAAACAAGAGGCCTTTAACAAATAATAAACATTTGCCGTGTTCAGCATCAACTACAATCTGAATTTAATTTTCCACTTCAGTGGTTCAAAAAAAAAAAAAAACCCCCACCCCAAATTGTATTTTGCAGTTTGTAAAACAAGATAATCTCAATCACTTCAATTTTTGAATTTAGATTCATTTGTGCACACTTGTTCTGCTATTCCTTTTCAGGAATGCAAAGTTATGCAGAGTGCAAAAAAGTATAAGAATGGTAAGCCAAAGAAATAAAAGTATGAGATAAGAACAAGAAAAGGAAACATTGTAAATCTAGTTTACATCAATATCACTCAGCATGCCACTCCATACTTCTCTACTAGTAAACCATCTTTGCTTTCATTATGTCAATGAAAGATTGTCCAGATTGTCTCTTGTTCTTTATATTTCTTCCTTCTTTTTCTGGATCTTATTAACTCCATTCATCCATGAATTTCTTGGTCTTTTTCCTCTTGATCCATTTACTCTCTTTCATATATTTGTTTTCCAGTTCAATCCCTATCATTCTCAAAAACACCATTCAATTACCTTCACACTGTTTTGTATTCAGTTGATATTAATTCAGTACCCATTCATTTTGATTCCATCTCCTGTTTTACCATGCTCTCGCCCGCAGCTAATTTCACTTCTTTCACCAAGCAGATATCTTGCAACTTGTACCAGTATTTGCATGTCTATTTTTTCATTTTCAAGCAGACTTTGAAATCCACAGGTGCCCCTACTTGCTCTCGTGTTTTAGCATTAACTTGCAATTGACTTGCTCAGTTTTCCTTGTCTGAGATGCTATCTCAAGTTTAATAAATCTTCAGGACCCTACTCCCCATTGCATCATACACTCACATTTATTGTTGTTCATTCAAATTTCTCAGCCAACAGCATGGCAGCAGTTCAGGGGTGAAATCCAGCAGATTCTGACAAGTTCTGGAGAATCGGTAGCGGAAATGGTGAGTAGTTCGGAGAACTAGCAAATACCACCTCTGGCTGGCCCCAGAGTGGGATGGGAATAGAGATTTTGCAGTATCCTTCTCCTGGAGTGGGGTGGGAATGGAGATTTTGCAGTATCCTCCTGCCACGTCCAGGAAGCCACACCACGCCCACCAAATCACGCTCACAGAACCGGTAGTAAAAACATTTGGATTTCACCACTGCAGCAGTTGTATACAAAAATACATATATATTCACATGTGAGTGTAGCACTTGTCCAACTTCTTGGCTTGCCTTCAGAAGTTGTGGGTGCTCCATCACAGGACGCTTTTAAGAAGAGCCTGGATTTGTCTGAAATGGATGAAATGGTCTCCTGCACAAGCATGGGGTTGGACTGGAAGACCTCCAAGATCCCTTCCAAGTCTATTATTCTATGTTCTTAAACCAAGCGTGTCTTTTGATAAGGTTGCATAAAAGCTTTGTGGTTCAATGGCAAAAAAAGCAGCAATTTTAAAAGAGGTGCAAACAATGTGTGGGTTACAATTCCACATCCTCCAAAAGACTTTTTTGTCTTCAAATCCAAGGTGCCGTACAACTCTGTTAAATGGTAGACTGTTACTAACGGTATTGGGGGGAACCCTCCAGAGGGGATTCACTCTTACCATATTGACAATCTGTAGTAATATTTAATGTTAATCTTTAAAAGAGCTTGGTGAAATGACATTGGCAGGATTAATAATCAGAAATAAATTCCTGATCTACCTGGACCCCAAAGCGGACACCATCTTTAGGCCAATTCAAATCTTTCATACTTCATGAATTTTTTCTCTTCTGCAGAACTTCTTATCAAGCAAAATGGAGATTCTCTCCCCCCCTCCCTTTTCATTAATAAAGGATGCATTATATAAGATAGTATATGCCACCTAACTACTTATTTACAACGTTTAGCCAATACTGTTCTGCTATAAGGGTAACAAGCTTTTTAAAATAGAAAAATAAATCAATAATTATGTCATTAAAATGAATATACAGTCAGCAGTGTCTAAAAGTAGGGGAATTGTTAAAAAGGAGAGTTATTAAATATAATTCAAGTTATTCTAATCTACTGATCAAAATATATCATTTGTATCCTATCTCAATCAGTACTCTTGGAATATCATGTAAAACTCTGCCTCCAGTTATCTTTCTTAACAATAATTATTTAATTTTCTAATGGATTAGACAACCTTCAAAATTTAGCAAAATGTTTTTAATCTTTAAAAGCTTACAGTATTCCACTTACAAAGCAATCTTGTATCTGACTTAAAACTAATACAACTAAGGTAAAATAACACCCCATTTTAGATTTAAAAAATTCCACTTCTTGAATATGGGAGAACTCAACAATACAATTTTAAAATGTTCATACCAGATAACATGTTCAGCGGTTGGCTCACCTAAAAATAAAATACAGTTGTGATTTTTTTTTGTCCACTAGAGGGCGGATATAACACACTGCTGAAAGTCTACACACAGTACTGAAGTCCACAATTGGTAGAAGTAGGAAGTAGATGAGAAGAATTTGGATAACCCTACAGGAGAAGCAGTTGAAATTTTTGTGAAAACTGTGCCTTTGTTTGTAAAATTAGTGGTTTGAAAGTCAATGAGGAACCCTAGAATGAAGTTAGTTTCACTTTGATCCTTTTTAGTTCATTGCTGGAGTTAATGAAAAACGCTCCAGTTAAGCCTACTTAAAGAGATTTTTGTTTCCATTGTCCTACATTTTTTATCCCTGCAATATCCAGTCAGCCTTTTGAATGCAAACTCCCCAGGGAGGGGCTCCACGCATAGACTTATTTCTCTTGTAAGCTTACTAGAACATTGTTCTTACTTATTTCCCTTACCCAGCCTCAAATACCATTCAGCTACCCAATGTGACTTTTGAGATAAGGTGGGAGGGTGGTGCTTTTAACTGGATTCATCCTCTGTCGTCCCCCCCCCAAAAGGAATCAATTGTGAAATCTAAAAATACAGAAGTATCTAACAGTTTCCAGGGTAATAGGGGACCATGGTAACTAAGTGCTAGCTTTGAGATCTGATGGAAGACAATTGAGGGGGGGTGGCATGGGTGAAATACGGCCAATTAACTGTGTAGAAATGTTCCTGAATAAAATACCATGCGTTAACCCTGCAGGTGCTAGAGTTACATAATTTTCAGTGTATTCAACACTGAACAATTGTGATCTGATTACTTTAAATTGGTGTCTTGGTGGGCGAAAACAGGCTGTTTGCTCTGACGTTGGCTGAGGAGCTTTCTTTCCTTGACACGGCTCCCTCTGAACCTTTTTGTGGATCTTAACAGACAGACCAGCAACATGTGGACACACACACACACACACACACACACACACACACACAAGGCATTACTCTAATCTAATTTGAAGTTGGGAATGAAATAGGCACCAGACTTTACATTTTTAATCACCTAA